AAAAAAAAAGATTTTTTTTATTGAAAATTTACCTCCAGTAAGCATAGCCGTTAGGATAATCCCACACGACCATACATCGACAGGTTCACCTCGATAAGGTGTTTTTGCCCATACCTCAAAAAAACAATTTGAAGAAAATTACATTCCTTTTTTAATATGATCAATAAACAAAGTATAAAAAAATATCCTTGAAAAAAACTAGTAACGATTTCTATACATCCTTAAGCAACTCTATTCCATGCTTTTCAATTGGATGTTTCCTAATTGATTATGCCTTGGGCATTAGACTAATCTGTTGTAAATAGTTAATTATATCATTATATATATATTAATCAAAACGTCTTTCTTTTTTTACTAATAATTTGTATCATTTACTATGAAAAATACAATATTCGATACGTATGTGTCTCTAATTAATAAGAATTAGTCTTATTTAATACAATTAAAATCGTTATGACCTCTAGTAGGTGCTGATAGGGGGTATATCTTTTAAAGAAAAACTACGTCCTTCGCAAAGTTCTACATTTTCTTTCTTAGTTGTCAAAGACATTTCACTACAATAATGAGAAATATTGTCTAGAAGCGTTAATCATAATCGTCATTGATGATTAGAGATGTGCTGCAGGGTCAACCTTTTTGGTCTTGGTCTAAAGAAAACTATTCCAGAATTTATTTATATCGTATCTAACAAAAAGTTCTTCAATATTCGTTTTTTTTATCTTCGATTTATTTAGTCGATGACTAGCACTTATTATTGGATGATCTCTCTTGAATCATATTCCGATTGATAAGATAATTTGCATATTTCCATTGTCGATATATGCTTAAACATATTTTCATCAATTCTACTCAAATTTTGACAATAGAACATCTGAAATATTCCTCAATCAATATCAAAAAAGTTCAAGATAACTCACTAACATTCTATTTTCTCTACATGGAAAACCTTCATTCTTAGATAAACTATTCATAACAAGACAACTATCGAGTAGTAATGAACGGAACCAATTGTTTTTAATCTCGGTCTCATTCTCGATCTGAAAAAATTTCGGTTCCGCTTTATCTACTATTGAGTTGTTGTCATGCTATACTGAAAAATAAGATTAATCCATAACTTTTGCATTGTATGTTATCTACATTTTACAGAATAGATAATTACTTCAGGTGATGAATATGGAGCTGTACCACAATATGTTGTCAATTTTCGTTCGTCTTTAGTTGTTTGACTACGAAAAAGTGTTGCTAAACCAAAATCACAAATTTTGAGTACATCTAATAATTATCAATAAATAGATTAAAATAAATTAATGTTTTTTTTTAATCTTACTATTATTAGCTATAAGAAGATTTTCAGGTTTAAGATCTAATTAAAGAAAAAAGATAAAAGACAAAAAAACATAATTAATATCTGATCAAACCTCGATGTGCAACACCTAAACTATGTAGATAAGCCTAAAATATATTTTTCAATAAAATTATTTTTCTTTTTTTAAATGTATTCATACCATTCCGGCAACAACTTGTTTAAAATAATTTTGTGCTAGATATTCAGGCATACCAACATCGGGTTCTAAAAATAATTTAAATAAACGATTTCTTTTACTTTTTAATTATAAAAATCTAACCAATTTTATCAAAAAGTTCACCACCAGCAGCATATTCAAGAAATAAATAATAATTTGAATATTGTTGTTTATAACCATAAAAACGAATTATATTTTCATGTCGAAATAATTTATGTAAATCAATCTAAAGTTTATTTTTTTTTTGTTTTTTCTTTTTGTCTTTGAAATTAAAACAAATTCATACTTCTTTTCGTATAACAACATCATTTCCTTTCAATCGATTTATATCAATAACTTTAACAGCAGCAAATTCATTTGTATTAACATTTTTAGCAAGAACAACTCTAAATATTTAAATTTATGAATAAAAAATGAAGAAAACTTTAGTTCACATACTCGCCATAAGCACCTTCACCAAGTGTTTCTGTAAATTGCCACATGATTGTAAGTGACAAGTAAAGAAATCATACAATTTATCGTTATCCCTTTGTTTTATATATTTGCCTCGCTGTATTTTAATTGGATTAAATTTTTGAAAAAAAAAATGAATTTTTTTTTTAAATATTATTTTTTATAAAAATTTCAAATAGATTTATTAGAAATTTTATAATAATAAAAAAGAATTATTCATTTATTTAATAAATCAATTTCATTGATACGAAAAATAACGAATAGCGAAAATTAGAATGAATCATTTATATAGGATATACTGTGAACTTGAACATTGTTTTCACAGCCTAGACAGCTATTTTAACTTCTTTTAAATGAACATATGTGCACTTTTTTTATTCCTCTCTATAATCTTCATCATTTATGGCTAATGCATTAAAAGTGCTGTTCTTTGTTTGTCATAACTGTACATGTCAAGGAAAGCAATGACATCATAAGTGCATCTTACGTTAAGCGAAAAACTCAATTGATTAATAATAACAACGATGGCAATGATGCATTATAATCTGAATTAGCTGAAAAATCAAATATTTCATTTGGTTCAGTATTCAATATTTTAAAACGAAAATTTTAAAAATTTTGACATAATAAAATTTTATGAATTGTATAACAACGTTTATCAAATTCACATATATCGAGATCAAAAAAAAAAACTAATATAGGATTTTGCGAAACAAGACAGAGTTTTGTATTTTGAAGAAAGATAAAAACACATGGAATGATCTTTGATTATTTCAAAGCTAGAAAAGATGCTTATATTCTGAAACTATTTTTCATTTCGTACTAAAATACAGGGCATCTCCTATAGATCAACACTTTTCAAAAGATTTGACAACGTTAATTTAAGAGAAGTTATACTATACAGACATTTAAAACAGTCTTTCTAATGGCAGGTGTACCAAGTTGAAGCATTATGTACTAAGCATCTGCTACGTTCAACATGCACACTGTTGTACATTTAGCACTAAACAGCAGAATGAACATGATATACTTAGCTAAATAAAATAACAATTGGGTTGCAAGATGATCATATCTATTTTTTAACAAGGAAATTATAAAATTAATTTATTCTTTTTTTTTAAAATGTATTATTTTTTTCTCCTTTAATTATGTCGGAGAAAAAAAAAATTATTTTTCGCTTATGATCTTTTATTATTTATCGAGAGGTATTTTTGTCAAATGGGAAAAAATGTTTTTTTTTTTCTTTAGGTCCTTCTTCTTTATAAAACTTCGCCATTATACATTTTGATATACTCTGTTTACAAAAGGCATATATAAACAAACTGTAAAAAAAGACATTTTGTACTACATTTCCATTAGAAACGCTAAATTAAAATTATGTATTGTTTATATCTAAGATCAAGGTTTATTGATCTATCCACATGCTATGATTAAGAAACTAACATGTCAGAATTACGTAAGTGATATGTCAAATAAGAGACATCTTGATTACAAACATTCTTTTATTACCAATAAAAATAAGTGCAGTTAATCAGAAAAATATTCACATTATGAAATAAAACTAAAATAAATAAAAAAAAAAAAAACAATTTCTTGATTCAAGATATAGTATGTATCGACTTACATAAAATTTTGCTTTATATCCATAATCTCATGAATGTTATGTAATTATGTAATAATTTTAACATAGATATTATTATGGACTGTTACTATCTATTGTAAATTTCCGCATACAATATCTCTATGCTTCTATTCATTTATAACATTGAATATAAAATTTCAACATACTCCAGGGCATCGAACGAACAACAGGAACTCAATTCAAATAAACTGATATATTTTATTGAATTATCCTTCTTCTATTGATTAATTTCCTATACTTATTATTAAGTTTCTTTTTTCCACTTGACGTACATAGTTCATATAATATCCAGCTTATCGATGTTGTCTTTACAACAATGATATATTGATTTTTTATTCAATATACCATCTATTGCATGATTTCCTATGTATAGATTAGTATCTAATCTCAAATCAATCGAATGAACTACTACAATGATTGACTTGTACGTTTGAATTCGATTAAAATGTATATATATATATATATATATATATTTTTTTTTAATTACTAAATGAAATAAAAGAAGACAAAAAAACAAATGTTATTTTGCTCAATTCTATACTTTATATGCCAAATAAGTCTTAATGTAATGCAATAGAGACGTGACAGTTGTGCAAACGAGTTAATGATAACTTCACCGTAGGTCATTGACAAATGACGGTGTTAGGTTATATTTTATTCTAGCAGCTGTGTTGTTCTTTATATATCTATTCGTTAATAGCATTTTCCTTGACTGTCAGAGTCTCTCTAAAAGCAAAATACATGCATACACACTAGACTTAAAAAATAACATCAAAGCCAAAGTAATAAAGCTTTTTATGTAATTTCATTGTACAAGAATGATAGATGCTAAAAACCTGCCAGATTGTTAAAATCAGTTTGTTGTTATCTGTCATGAATAATTTCGCATTATATTTATCATTAACTGAAGAATTCTTTTTTCTTTTATTGCTACTTGATTAAGTCTTTTACGAAGACACTGTCATACATCTTTTACGAAGAACGCACAATCAGTATCGAGTGTTCATAGATGGACATTTTTTTTCTATTCTCCATTATAATCTTCTTTAAACAGCAGTCGTTCGTTTACAAAGAAAAAGAGAAGAGAAACGAAGAAAAAAAAAGATCTGAAGCTGTGTACTCATGAAGCGTAGTCCACAAGAGAGAAAAAAACGAGAAGAACAGAGAAGAAAAAGAAACGAATGATGAACTTGGTATTCATCACTAACACTCATACTTCGTCTAACTGTTGTGTCGACAGAAAAATACCCATCGCAAGTTGATCGATTGTGTATATATGCTTATTCTATACTATTGTCATTCTATCCATTTTTTTCATATTTGATTCTTTGTGTCTTTATTCATTCATCCTTATAAATAGGAAAAAACTCTTACGCGAAACAATGCAATTATTATTAATACACATTTTTTTATATCAATTTATTATTTATTCAATAATAATTTATGCTGATAGACAAGAAATATTATATAATGATTATAAAAAAATAGGTAAAGAATTATTAGAATATTAACTTATTTATTTTTATTTTTATTTTTATTTTTTACTTTGCTTATCATCCATCAGATGATTCTCTTCTTTGTCCATCATATTTATTTCGTTGTGATAATATACGTTGTCTACCTTATGCATTTGTTTGTAATGGAGAATATAATTGTCATGATAAAACAGATGAAATTAATTGTTCAACTGCATTAATTAATAATGATCTATGTAATCAAAATTCTTCTATCAATTGTGAACAAGATATACTTCATAGTATACGCCTTGTTGAACATGGTATTCATTATGAATATACACGTCCAGTACAAATCTGTATTAGACGGTAATATAAAACATATTTTATATGTGAATTTTCATCAAAAAAAAAAACAGACACATATGCCTTGAGGATTAATTCTTAACATTTTATAACACTTGTTGAATTTCACATGCAGTTTATTTGTTTATCATTCCTAAATATTGTATTCATTTACATGCATAAAAATTAATGAAGTATAGTTTTTTCTGATCGAACTTTTTTTTTCTTCATTTGAGGAAATATCAATTAAAAACTTGACATTCAATTTTCAATTATAACAGATACATAAAAAAAAACCAACAAAGAGAAAAAGGAAATGGATTCCTCATAGGTATATTTCATACTAATGTCAATTGACTTTAAGTATCAGATAGAAAACAATAGATGAAGGTGGTGTAGATATAAATGTTTGAATTATTAAAATATAATCATTCAAATGTGACTAATTAGAATTTGAGAAAAAAAAAAGGATAACCTTTCAAGCGAAGAAAAAAGTATATTAGTATCGATATAGCCCTAAGGCAAATATTTAAATTGATTAAATTAAGCATGTATAGTATTCCAAATTAAATTTCATGATTCTTCATAAAGATCATCAGTCTGCGATGGAGTTATTGATTGTCGTAATGCTATTGATGAACAATGTACACAACAAAATCCATTACTAACTTGTTCACGAGATGAATATCATTGTAAAATAACCAATCGTTGTATACCAAAAACATGGCTATGTAATGGAATCAATGATTGTCTTGATCCATATTCATCGGATGAATTAGGTAAATTAAAAACCAAAGATTTATCTGAAAAAAAGAAAATTTTTCTTTTTTGTCTTATGATAAATAGATTGCCCGATGATGGTTAAATGTACATCGAATGAATTTACTTGTCAATTGAAAAATCAATGTGTATCATCTACTGCTGTTTGTGATGGAGTTCAAGTTTGTTTGATTGGTCTTTCTTTTTTTCCTAAAGACATAATTTTGCTTTTATTTTATATAGGATTGTGCTGATGAGAGTGATGAATCTCCATCTATATGTCGTATGTTTATTTTGTTTGCGAGAGAAAAGAAAAGCAATTTATTCTTTTTATATTTTCTCATATAAGGTTTTCCTCGTTATTGTACACGTGATCAATTTGCATGTAAATCAACAAAATTATGTATCCCAAAATCGAATATTTGTGATACAATAAGTCAATGTCATGATCGAAGTGATGAAATGTCATGTGGTTGTCCGATTGAAGATTATGTTAGTGATAAATTATTTTATCGATGTAGTTTAACAGATAAATGTTTACCAAAAAATATTGAATGTGATATCAAACGTGAATGTAATCCAATATTTTTTGAAGATAATGATGATAATAATGAATGTTCATCATTTTCATTATTAAATAATCAAATTTGTTTATCAAATAATACATGCTTAGGAGAAAATCAATATTGTCGAGGTTATTTTCATAAACGTTGTGTTTGTCAAACAGGTTATCGAATGAATGAAACAACTGGTGTTTGTGAAGATATAGATGAATGTCGTGAAAGAGTTATTTGTGATCATTATTGCATAAATACTCGTGGTTCATATCATTGTTCATGTCATGAAAATTATCAATTAAAATCTGATAAACATACATGTACACTTCGTACAAATTTATTTTCATTTGGTAAAAAAAAAAATTATTATTATTTTTTTAATTTTTTGATTAAAACAATTTTTTTTCTTGTAGTATCTCTATATGGTTTATTTGATAATGGAATATATAAATTAAATTTGAATAATGAAAATGAACTTGATAAAATTAAAGAATTATCAAATATTAATAAAAATGATTTTATACCCGATAATAATACATTAATTATTTTAACAAATCATGCTTATTTATTAGATTATGATCCTATTGAAAATTATTTATATTTTGCTGAATGTTCAGTAGCTATTCGACCAATTATTATGTCATGTCCTAAAACACGAGGAATATTTCGAATTAATTTAAATCGATCAAGATATAAAAAAGAAGTATGAAAATTAAAAATTGATACAATAACCAATAATTTATAGAATTTCAATAGTAGAAATAAAATATGAAATATATCTAATGGAGTGCGTCGAAAGTTTTTAGATCAAACTTTTTGTTAATTTTCTTGATCGATTAAGAGAATCAGCAGAGAGCATTGTAACAAATTTTATGTACTTTTCGAATCAATATTCAAAATTTTTCTGAAACTCATAGATCGAGAATAAGTTTACACAGCTTTCAATGTTTAATAAAACGTCCGAGAGAGAGGTAATATTTATTCTAAATACACCAATAAAAAAGAGCAAACATTTCTTTACGACAGGATATCCTAATAAAGCGTCTATCAACAAAGAAAATTTTAGTTAAGAAATACAACAACATTTTTGCAGTTTCTTACTTTTTAGACTTACAAAATGAATTGGTCGTTTTTGACTAATAGCTCAGTTCTAAACTAACTTTGTAGGGGATAATATCGATGAGAGATGCACGAGACTGGAACTACAAGAAAAAAGTTGTTCCAATCAGAACTAAATATATAGTTAAATATTCTACTCAAAAAAAAAAAAGATGTTAGTCGTCGGCTAAATCAATCAAAAAAATGGGTATTGAAGGATTTTGCTTCAGATGTGATACGAATATATTTTGGAATAGTTTTCTCTAGACCAAGACGACTAGAAAAGAAGCTACAAGGATAGAATCAGGACCGGCACTGTACTAGATTTTCCGGGACTATGACGGAGTCGATGACAAAAAAGTTACTGAGACCGGGATCACTAGAAAAGAGGCCACCAGGACTGGCACCGAACTAGGAGTGGGACTAAGGCTGAAACCGAGACCAAAAAAATTTGACCTTTCGACTCTTTTCAAAGAATTATTTATAACTTCTGATTTATGAATCTCCTAAAAATTCGGAAAGAGCACAGAATTCTGATTTGAACCAAGTGCTTAATATCTTCTATCGACTCTCTCAATCAATCAATCAAAAAATGAAAGAACATTTTGTTTAAAAACTTTTAATACATCACGTTATTTTGAGCAGTTGCTCTCTAAAATTATCTATAATTTGAATATAAAGATTAGTAAAATAATATTATTCAACAATAACTCGAAAATGAATTTTCTGTCAACACTTCTTTTTTTGATGATATTATTTGTTTAAGTATTTTGCTTTTGTTTATAGTTAGTTATTGATGGACGTGATTATACATCAATTCAATCATTAGCTGTTGATTGGTTACATAAGAATATTTATTTTGTTAATACACGTTTACAAACAATTGATGTTTGTCGATTGAACGGAAGTTTTTGTCAGATACTTCTTCATCAAACAGTTAGTGATTATTTACCACAACGTATTATTTTATATCCAGAAAAAGGGTATATTTAACTCAGAAAATTAAATAATACAACATTTTCATTTTTTTTTTGTTTCTTTAGTTTACTTTTCTATACAGCTATTGTTAAATCTCGAGCTCAACATATAGTTCGTCTTGGAATGGATGGTAAAAATTTAAAACTTCTTTTTACAATAAAAATATTGAATGATATTGAAAATGCTAATTATCTACGACCATTATTAACAATTGATCGAATAAATCATTATTTATATTTTTATGATGGTTTAGATAAAATATTTATATTAAATATGCATGGAGAAATTCTTCATATACAATATCAAACTACATATCGATTTCATTCATTTAAAATATTTTCTGGTAAAGATTTACATACAAAAAAAAAAAAAAAGAATTTAAATTTTAATTGAAATATTTGGTTTTTTTTTTTAGATAAAATGTATAAAGCTTTTACAAATGTCGATGGAACAAATCATAGTGAATTTCGTATTAATCCAAAATATGCTCTTGGTACAACATTACTTGGTTCAGGATTTATTTTTAATCTTGATCGAGTTGTTCAAAGTTTTTATAGTAAAAAAAAATTTTTTTTTTTGGATTTATTATAAAACGATAATATTAAATTTTAATTTAATAGATAAAAGTTCACGATTTGGACAAGGTACTTTGTCATTAAATTCTTTTCATAATCTTTATTATCTTCGATATCCAATACATATGATTGATTTTATTATTGTTGATTCAAATAAAAAGAAAGGTAAATATTAGAATATCTTAACTAATAAAAAAAACAAAATTAAGATATTTATAGTGACAGAAAGTCAATGCGATAAATGTGAACAATTATGTTTTCCAAATAACCTTAATCAAACAGAAATCACTTGTGGTTGTACGCAATATTATAATCTAGCTGATGATAAACATTCATGTATACCTAGTTGTCCTGAGTAAGTAATATAAAAAAAAAAAAGACAAATTAAAAATAAATTTTTTAATGTTTAATTTTGTAGACATTTTTTTGATTGTCAAATATCGAAAAAATGTATTCCATTTTATCAACATTGTGATGGAATTATTGATTGTGTATTTGGTGAAGATGAAAATAATTGCCAAGGTTTGTATTCTTGAAATAAAACTCATGTAATGAAAACAGGAGAAAAACCGTCGGTCACCGCAGTTAACCGGCACCATTTTGATTCTTTGTTTCATTAATATTTGTACTTAAATTTAACAGTTATTTTTCAATTAACCTAACTTTTATTTTAACCAAAAATAAAAATACAAGCCTACTAGATCTCATTATTGTCATATTGATTCTTTTCTCTAAGCAAGCAAACGAAATTAGTGATGCGACAGACAGGCACATGTGTATATGTATTTTTGATTTTGTTCGACGATACCAAACACTTAATTCGAATCCGAATAGCCAACGAAGTTCTCTACCAAACTTTCATAGATGGACTATGAAAGAAAGGTTTCTCAAAAATCCAAAACACAGTAGTTTTTGAAGTCCAAGAAGACTTTACGAAAATTAGTTTTTAGGAATGCCAGTTACATGCATCACAAAAAATGAAAAACATTCAGGAAATCTTTCTCTTATAGCCCATCTATGACATTTTGGTTGATAGAGAACTTCATTTTCTATTCAAAATATGTTGATCTTATATTTTTGACTAATACTATATAGTTTATTTAATTTTTAATAGCATGTAATAAAACATCATCATTTCATTGTTCGAGTAATTCAAAATGTATAACAATAACTGATTTATGTAATAATATAACTGATTGTTTACATGGTGAAGATGAACATGATATAATTTGTGGACATTATTGTGAATGGCCAAGTATAAATATTTGCAAAAGTAAATTAAATTTTTATTGAAGGAGAAAAAAAAAGACAAAAACATATTTGATTTGATTTTTTTATATTAGAAAAATATCCAAATTTATGTTCGGATGTAGAATTTTATTGTGATGGAAAATGTGTATCAATTACTCATCGATGTGATGATAAACCTTATTGTTGTAAGTATTATCTTTTCTTTTTTCTTCGAAATATTTTGAGATTTTAGATGATGGTGCTGATGAACCATTTGATTGTATTAATGTAACATGTCCTTATGAATATTTTAAATGTCCATTATCTGGAAAATGTATACCATATGAACAAGTTTGTGACAATATTGAAGATTGTCCAATTATTGATAAAATTAATGGTATTACTGCAGATGAAACATCACAAGCATGCAGTATGAATAAATCCATTTGTTTTTTATTCATCTTTAAAATGAACTTTGTTTTTTGTATAGATTTTGTATTGAGTCGTCCAACTATTTTAACAACAACAATAACAACAAGTACTTCACAAATAAATATAACATGTGAATCAGCTGATTTATTTCGATGTAAAACAAGTCATTTTTGTATTAATCGTACTTATGTTTGCGAGTAAGTCTTCTTCTTTTTTTTTTTTTGTTTTGTATTTTATATACATAAAAGAAAATAAATCTTCTACTGATTCTTAGTGGTGATCTTGATTGTTCTGATTCATCTGATGAAGAAAATTGTGAAGATTACATTAATCACAATCTTATAGCAGTATCATTACATAAAGATTATACATGTATAAATGGTTATCGATGTCTACAACAACGACATGAACTAAATAATTATAATCCATTGTGTATATCTTTAAATGAATTATGTGATGGAATTAATCAATGTCCACTTGGAGATGATGAACATAAATGGCGTTGTCGTAAGTGCATTTGATTTAGTTATCTGCAAAGAATATTGAATGTCTAATCGTATGTTATACTAGAGTACTAGGGTATTTCATCTATTTTTTTTTCTTGTAAGACTATAGACATCTTCTTTGTCTATAATGAGCCAGACTTTCATCAATGGCTAACAGGAAATCTTCCCAATGAGATATTAAAAATTGGGAAGGTTCCTTCGTGAATAGCTACGTTGTTTGACATATATCTACAAGACACTATGCGCAAACATCGATACCATTTGCCATTGGATGACTGTGAGCAAGTTACTGTGTATGAGGAACTCTGTGTCAGGTCCGCCCTCTGTTTATAGATATAGCTAGTGTTAGTTGTAGGGAAGATATCGGACTACTGAATGCAGAAATATTCTTTCTTGTGTTTAGGTAATTGTACAAATTGTGATTCGACAACAAGTTATTGTGAGCTAATTAATCATTTACCTGTTTGTCAATGTAAAAAAGATTATATTAAAATAGCAAATGGGTAAGAAGAAAAACAAAAGTTTATGTCTTTGTAAAAAAAAAACATTTCGTATTTGTTTAGAAGTTGTATCTTAGAAGATAATCTTTGTAATTGGTCTTATGGAACTTGTTCACATGAAAATCTCTCTCAGGAAAATGATGAAATAAATTTTTGTATAAAAAAGAAGTCTATTAGAAATTGTCAATGTGATCGTGGATATAATATGAAAAAAGTAAACTTTTTTTCTGAACGTTGAATCTATATATACTTTTTTTTTATTTTGTTTTAAGAATAATGATGATAGTATATCTTGTGTAGTACGAAGTAATCAAACTTTCAATGTAATGCTTAATCCGCGTGCATCATTTTATCTTAATCAATATAATTCAATATTTGTTGTAAATTTTTCTAATAAAAATATAATTAATTTTTATTATTTATTGATATTTTTTCTAGCCAGTAAATCCTTCACATCATGTAATCGATGCTGTATTTATTCCAATGGATAATATATGGTGTTTATTTTATACTGAACAACGTAATGGACATTCATTTATTTGGCAACAAAAATTTAATCAAATAATTAATTCAACTAATCGATTACAAAATAATGCAACACAAGTTTGATGTTTTTTTTTTTTGTATATTTTGTTTAAGTTTTTGTTTTTGTTGTAAATTTATAATTAGATTTGGTCTTCATCACTTTTTTATTTTACTTCATTAGAAGTTGATTGGATTCATCGTTTAGTTTATGTACTTTATGATGATCCATCATCATCATTAAATGGTATTGAAATAATGTATTCAAATAAAAATGATTATACACAATTAACATTTGTTAATCGATTAACATTTTCAAATACGAAAACAATTTCATCGATTAATGTTCATCCATTACAAGGGTAAACAAAAATTATTTCAATCAAAAAAAAAAAGATTTGTATCAGAGAACATCATAGGATGGTTTTTCTTCGTCCTATTCTGTAGAACATTATCATTTAGTCATCCTATTTTTCAGGACGATTTTTTCATTACATACTTGTCTGTATATGAGATATGATGGCAAGTATTATAGATGTGCTATTATTTACAAGATAATCATATTAATAAATCTTATCACATGTTTTTCAACAGAAGCAAAATGAATAACAGAAAAAAGAGATACTTGACATCAGAGATGGAATTAGGGGTGACACTTTAACTTTAAAAACGCTTTAAAAAAGTGTTAAAGTTAAAGTGAAATATTTTAAAACTTAAACTTTAATATAGTCAACATTAAAGTCGACAAAGGGTGTCCTGACTTCCTCAATATCTATACTATAAAGAGACCCTTACGACCTCAAGTACTATACTTTGAAGGTACCCTTAGGTCCTCAAGGCATTTACTGTAGCCTATAGTATAGGCCTTGAGGACCTAAGAGTATCCCTATACTGTAGACCTTGAGGACGTAAGGGTACTCCCCTTATCGACTTTAATGTGAACTTTATTGAAGTTAAAGTTTTAATGTTTTTCACTCTAACTTTAAGTTTAAAGTATCACGTTAATTTTAACTTTTAAAGTAAACTTAAAGTACCACCCCTAGATGGAACCAGTACTGGTTATCATCCTATAACTGATAAACCGGTCATGGCCGATCTGCTAGTCGCGCCAATAGACCAGTCTGAACTTTTCAGACCGGTTTCATCTCTGCTTGACATCTATAAGGTGAACAAATTAATAATAAAAACAAACATTAAGATACAGAATTCAAAATATAATCAATATAAATAGATGGAAAACGAAAAAAGATAAGTTTTCTTTTTCTTAAATTTCTCGTATGAATGAATAGATAATATGTTATCAGAGATATAGAAATTTTTATCGCGTTTTCTAATAAAAAGCTGAGGCCCCCAAAGAATTGACTTACGACTTCAAACTTTGCACGAACAAAGTTCTTAATGAGATTAATTCATTCAGCAAGTTACGACTTTTCTAGTATTTGTTAAATAAACATCGTCTCAGTCGAAAAATAATTTGGCACTTGAAGAGATTTCCCCAGAGTAGAGTCCATCGGGTCCAAAAATTTTGAACCCGGATTCAATCGGGTTCGGGATCAACCCGACGGGCTCTATCCCAGAGTCACTTCATGGCTCTGCCACTACTGATAATAATGGAAAATCATAACGAGTTTCTCTACTAGATCAGAACTTCATTAAATCACCAGTGATCTACGTATCCTGTCGATCCTAGAGTCGTCTTGTGACATTCTCTGATCTGTGTATGTTTTTCTTTTCAGGTATCTTTACATAAGTGCATATTATGATGCACAACATTCTTTTGTTTATCGAAGTTTACTTGATGGATCAAATCTTGAAATATTTTTAACACTTCAATATCCAGTATTAAGTATGACAATTGATTATCGTCATCCACGTTTATATGTTTTATTATCAAATGGTGAAATTGAAAGTTATGCTATTGATAAAAGTCAACCATGGAAAATAAATGTTTATTATTTTAAAAGTAATTAAATTTTCTTTCTTAATAGGTTTTATTTTATTTTTTTTTCTTTTTGAAATTATATATATAGATCTTCGACCTTATTCAATTGATCTTTATGATGATATACTCGTTGTTATGATATTTAATACAACAGATTCAACATATGATGAAATATGGATAGATAAATTTGGTAAAACAATAACAGAAAAATATCGAAAATTAAAAACAGCAATGATTATTCGATATATACATGAATTTAAATATCCAAATATTGATATATCGAATAGTATGTATTTTTATGTTTGTTCAAGTCTATAAATTTGTAGTACGAGTAAAATCTCAGAAGTTTTTTCTCTATTTATGGCAAAGATGACTATAAAGTTTTGACTACAGAATGGAAGATGTATAGTCAAAATTATTAAAAAACTTATAGTCATCTTGTAAAATCGGTTCGAACAGAAAAATAAGCTTTATGTACATACAAACTTGATAAATAGATATATGAAATGAGTGATATAACTCTTCCAATATTTTTAATAAACATGCCGTTTTGTTTTCTCTTGTTAGTGGTTCATCAAGTTTGTTCTGATTCATCATGTCCTGTTGGTCGTATCTGCATATCAACTCCATCATATCGACCATTGTGTATAACTCCTGGACGTATGTTTCAAAAAAAAA